AACAAATATGAATTTTATCGAATAAATAAAAATTTAAATAAATTGAAATTATAGAAGAGTTATATGACATTTACATTTTGCATTACACTTGAAGTGTGCCACAAAAATTGCAGTATATAGAAAATTGAAATTAAAAAGAAGACGCCACACTTCAAATGTCTTGGAATGGTTTCTTATATAATCAAACGAATAATTCTCGAAGGTCAGCACAGAACAAAAGTATGCAAAATAAAAGGAGTACAAAATGTGCACTAAACAAACATAAATCTGTTAAACTGAATATATGTAATTGAGCAAATTAAAATATAAATGAATGAATAAATAAAATACATTACAACTAAACAACGTGGTTTAAGAAGTCGAGGTCGAGCTGGTGGAAACATAATGGTTACAATTCGCTCTGTGGTAAGTTAAGTAGTATCATCTGGCATCACCATGAGCATCAAGTATCGTAGCTTGCATCGAAAACTATGAAGAATAGCAGCAGATTCATAGTGTTTCACTTCCATATTATTCAATTCAATAATTCGTTAATATAGAACGGGATCTAAAAAGTAGATCCACTCGGTTCAAATTGGGTCCCGTTAATTTTTATGTTAAATTATAATTATGGACAAATATTAAGAATTAGGCCTCCTTGGCATTTACAGCTTCATATTTTATGAGAATTCTTATATGCGATGGCATAAAAACAAGTCTTACCTGACCCAAATTTAACATAGTTTATGTCAATTTACTCTAAAAAATGAATCTTCGCTTCAAGATGTTAAAAATAAAAGCGTTTTCCCATATAAGAATTTAATGTCCATGAGAACATCTGTATAATTCATTCTGCTAACAAATTATCTGTCGTGCGTGATTCAATACCCCCCTTTTGTAATGTATACTGATAATGTGAAACTCTCTCTTTCATTTAATACCAGGACGACAACTCCAAAGCAACATTTAGAAGCCTTATTGGGGTAGATCAGAGTAAACTTTATATTTTTTAGTCTAAACTTAGTTTAAACCTTATGGTCTCTAGTCTACATGGCACACCGTTGAAGATGTCCCATAGTTTGTAGTTTTGAGTATTGGTTTTGATTCCATATAGCAAAAACAGAAAAAAATTCATTGCGTTTGTTAGTTTGTCAGTTAATAAGTAAGTAATAAGTAAGTTTGTCATGTTAATATATTATAATGAACAAAATGTATTTGGCCTCAGTTATGTTCTTCTCCCCCATATTAACCGTCTGAAATTAATTAATCTTGTAACCAGTTATAAGTGGGGACCGGCACTAAATGTTAGGTGTGTCATATTGCCCAGTTTCACTTGCCGAAATTAAGTTGAATTCTCCGTGAGTGCCGCCTTAACTACGTTTTACGTTGGCTGCAAAATCAGTAGTGATTATTATCACTTACTCTCCTTTTGCGATTCAAAGAATTAAAATAATGAGAAGAAGATTGTATTCGGCGGTGCATCCCGCATACCCACCATATAAACGCTTAGTCAACTTTTCGGTCAGTTTTTTCTAAACGGGCCAAGATTTTCTCGCCAGAGGAATAAATTCTAAGACTAAACTCTTAAAAGCACTAGCATCTAAGGCTATCGGCCTTTATTAAAAAACTCTACCGCACTTGAGATTCGAACCCACGACCACTGAAGTTGCTAGTGGAGACTCTTGCCTACTCGGCCACCCAGGAGAATTTTCTGTATTAAACTTCCAGTGTTTCTATCAAATTTAATGTCGATAGCTTCGTTTTTTCTACCAAGAAATTGCCAACAACACATACCACACAGCACACAAACGGACAGATTTAATCAATTTAGAATTTCATGCTGATCAAGACGCCCTTTCGAATGTTAAATACATTATGACAAAAAAAGAGCGTACCCGCATCCTTCAGTGGCGGGTACGTCATAATGTTAATTATACTACTCTCTTTGAAGTGATCATATAAATAGACATTGTATAATATACAATACAAATTACTATAAGCTTGCTGCTATTATTAATCAAATAGGTATTATTAATTTAAATATAAGCTATAAACTACGTAACCATAAGCTTTGTTGTATGCCGTAAATGGCTGCCCTAGTTTCTTAGTTGTATTTGTTTATGTATTGACTAAACAAGTCAATGAATTAAATTTTAGCTGATGAATGATGCGAAATAAAAGACTTATGGTCAATTAATATTCTTGTATCTTCTGATGAGGGCAACCAATCTGACGAGGACAACCAATCATACCTTAAGATAGCCGTCCAGGACTGTCTTTCAAATTTTGCCGCTTCCATGAGTTACTAAGCTGCTGAGAATTATCTATCGACACTCTAGCGTAACTAGCTACAGATGCGGCTTATGTACGCACATTGTTAGAACAAGGAAGTCCGGGGTCAACCTGCTGGAAATTTTATGACATGTTTATCTTGTCTTATACATAATAGGGGCTTCGCACAGACGGCGGCTAGCACTAAAGATGACTTCGATTATACTGAAATGGAAGCTATCGTGCGATGTATACGCTCGGTCAGCGTATGCTTAAGTTAGACGGTGGTTTTGCGCTAGTGCAGGAAGCCTTTGCACCAGGAGAGAGATTAACGACCTGACAACGGAAATTCGGGATTATCTTGACGTTAATAGCCGTTCCCCTCCCATTATGAAGCATGGAAATGTGGACGTCTCACCGATCTGTCTGAAGATCTGCCTGTCCGTTGCAGCTCCGCATTGGTAACTGTATTTGGAACTGCATGACAGTATCACATATATTGTAAAGAAAATAGGCTACATAACTGAATTTGTTTGGTATGTCAATGACTTGTTAATTGAGAGATGCCGCAAAGCACCTTGAAAAGGGGTTAGGGGTGGTCTATCCAGGAAGCGAAATAACGTCGGCAATCTTAGAAGGCAAATTCTAGGTGAGAGACGCTAAATACTGGCCATAAACTCGAACGTAAGCAACGCCTTAATTAGTACCAGAATGTTATTGCAACAGCTAAGGAGGACGGCTTTCATCCCTTAAAACAAAGATGGTAGAGCACGTGGAGTAATTCCTAGAAGCTTTGATGAGTGCTTTCGTCTTTAGAAGAGATGAAGCGGCGCGACCTGACATGATAGTGGTTCCCTTTTCACTTCTATAGAAGTCGATGTGCGAAATAAAATCCAGAAGCCTGACGACTATGGACCAAGCAGAGAGATGATTGATGCCGTGTGAAAATTATTCTAAGATATACGATCTACTCTTGATGTCTGCCCGAAAGTTACCTTCTATCCCAATGAAAACTGTCCGTGATTGCAGTACTATGGTGGGCTGAAAATGGCAGGGAAAGTAGATCTTTATATTAGCGGGTTCCCAGTACGCGCTAGTGTGATGACACAAGGCTTGACACGAGAATTTCATTGTAGGCAAGGATAGACCAGTCACATGAGTCGACGAAGGCGGAGGAGAAATACCGCACAATACACTACAAGTCGGTCTTATACAGGCTGGGGAAGAAAGTGAGTGCGCTAGATAACAACACTCATCGAACATTGGCTTGATTTTCTTAAAGCTCCCACGCAAAGCAACGAGATTTCTGCTTAGTTCAGAGAGGCCAATCTTTGCCTCCGCTTGTAAAAGTCAAAATGGTAAAAAAAAGCAAAAAAGTTAGTCTCACACACAAAAGTTATTTCTCAAATTAGACGTATCACTAAAGACATATTAAATGAAGAGCAAGTCAAGGAGAAAACCTGTCAACACGGAAAACTGAAAAAAAGAAAGAGACCCATTACGGAAAGCACTAAGTGCTGATCGCAAACACCAAAATGAATATTAAAGCAAACCGATCAATATAATTCGCTTCATTTAAACAATTCTTATATTTTATAATTAAATTATTCTTTAAAGATGTGTAAAGAAAAGAAGTTTTTAGCAAAATTAACTTATCCTTAGATAATTTTGTAGTACAGGCACATTAATCAATGCTTAATACTAAGGAGTAAATAATATTCAGGCCTTTCAACCAGAATATCATGCGCGAATTAATTCGAAAAACAACAGTCGATATTGGTGAATTTTCTGGTCTTTTATTATAAAAAAATTGGTACTTATATTATAATAAAATAATGCACAATAAGTTACATTTGATTTTTTATTTTGTAAAATTAATGCCTTTAACCAATCAGGTATCCCAAATGTAGCGTGTAAATGTCCAGGTATGCAAAAAAAGCGTTTGTCAAATATATTGCCAATATATTGCTTGACCAAGGAAAAAAAGTGCTTATTAAACAAAATATATTCTATTACACTGAACAAAAAATATTGTGTAAAATAGACTTAAATATATTTTAAACGAATCCTAACAAGTAATCATCAGCGGGAAAGAGTTAATGGGTTTATTGTTTCATCTCAATCTGTATTATCCTGCTAAATTTTCTGCATTGTAATTTTTGCCACTATTGTTTTAGGAGCTAGCCATCTTGCTGGATCAAGAACTTTGGCAATTTCCGAGAGAGCTTGTCTCTTTGCGCGATAGTAGTTTTGCTCGGAGCAGTAGCTGGTTGGAGATAGAAATAATCGTGAGCGATATTGCAACTGATACATAATTTTTTCGTCTTACTATTATCTGATAAGTTTATACATTCTTCACCTAGTGGATAATCTTACAATCCACTTTCGAAGCGAAAAACCAGCCGATTTTAAGACATAGTCAACTTCACGTGAAGTCTTAGCAGTACTGGTGACTGGTGACAACAGCAAGAATGCCATCAACACACATGTGAAACATTATAACATTAGCTACATCAGCACATCGTCTTCCATATTCTTTTGGTAGCGCTTGTTGTGTCCGAATTGCTAAATGCTACGCGCAATTTATGCCGGAAGTAATAGTTAAGAGTTCATAGCCACGCGGATATATTTAAAATTCGTTTCGAAAGATAAGTCTTTGGAAGTGTGTATATGGAGGGTATATTCGTATTCGCATGTACATTTTCCCAATGTCGACATTAAAAACGTAACGAAAGCGACGCTATCTTAAAATGAAGACAGTTATATCGGCCGACGAATTTGGCACTGGTTATAATAAGTCATCAACACTAAAAACATTTGATGTGACACTGGAGGCGTTAAAAACTAAACTTAATTTACTAGAAGTATTTTGGGGTTACAATGAAATTTGTGTCAGAACTTACCTTAACGATATGATTTAAGACGTCGCGTTCCATGATACTTTTATCATAGGCATGCTTGAATTCAGGATCATGTAAAAGACGGGCGTCTTATTGAAGGATGTGCGGTAAAGCTATAAATCGAGATTCTCCTAGCTTATCTGGAACGCAGCAAGGTCAATAGAGTTGAAAAGTAATGAAACAGACTGTAAGGGTCTATAACTGTCAGCTTTGCCTGTTATTATCCAACCAAACATGGTATTTTGAGCTAAGGGGGAATCCTTTTTAATCCCATCCAGCATAATTTATGAGCCATCCAACAGTAAATCCACTTGGAGTGCCTTACTTATCGAATAACCAGCTAAAGGCAAGTCATGCAACGGGAGATTCTCAATTGAATCAAATGGTACATAAGCTGACCGATAAGATATATTATAAGAAGAGCATTAACGTCGATCTGAACCAATAGGTTAACACGAGAGCTTATTCAAATAGCGCAAGTACGACTTGAGTAAGTAGATATTGTCCCATTAAACCGTGTTATGTCACATTTAGTGGCTTTTGTGGGTAGTGATAATTTTGTTTGTAACTTATGAGATACAAAACTAGCTTCAGATCCGAAGTTGATGAGTGCCCTAGCTGGGCCTAGCCGTCCTATTAAAGGAAGAATAATTGCTGCTCTGTCGTTGTTGGCTGTTGTGGTCCTTATCGCGTGCTGTTGTCTATAATCCGTTGTGTGAAGCAGAAAGTGATGCCTTTGCTTGCAAATGTAACAAAAATAATTGCCTCTGCAATTCTTCATCTCGTGAGAGCTAGCTAAACAGTTTAGGCAACGCGTATGTCGCTTTGCGGTAGCCACACATTTTTCGCAGTCATCCTAAGAAGGATTGCACATCATTTTAAGGGAGGAAGTTGTTTGTACATAATGTTTTCTTTATCCGCGGAAGTTGTCACTTTAGTCGAGTAGACATGTAATTTTTCGTTTAGAATTTTGTATTGGCTTGTATAAACGAAAGTGATTTCGAATTCAAAGAGGTGAGGTTAATAGTATATCGGATATCGATGACCAATTTGAAAGTATGATTTGGGGTGGTAACAAAGTCTGTCGTTTCCTTCCATTTGCGTAAATCTATACCCCGACGTGGGTTTTGTTCCCATAGATTGAGAGAGCTTTCAGTTAAACAAGTGGAGCATAGATAAACTGAACTTTTTATATCAAATTTCAATAGAGTAAATTTTCAGTACAGATACTTTCATTAATGGTTCATTGTAGAGCTTTGATGGATGAACCAGATTCTTATATAGCGATCAGTTAGATTTAATCAAGCGATTTCAAAGCCCTCATTCATTAACGGATTAGTTTTCATGATTTTCTTAATTCGCTTATGTGTAACAGGTGATATAATTTTTCGAAGGGACTTAGCTTAGGGATATTTTTGCATAAAACAGTAGACATATATCTAAATGTACTATAATCGCTTTTTGGGTGTCCAACTCTTGATTAATATGCGCGGTACATTGTAAGTAGGCCTTATAAGTATCAAAGTAATAAACATTTATCTCTATAAATGAGATTGCTTTTTTACTTTCATCAAAAACGGTGAACAAATTGTTATAAGAAATCATGAAAGAGTCAAATTATTCTATTTGTCGGTGTTGAAGGTCTAACGATGTGCTCGGTTGCTATAAATGTATCAAAATATAACACGAAGTTCATAATCACAAATCATAAATTCAAGCACTTTAAAAAGTTAAGCACTAAAAGAACACAGAGGTCTTTTCCAAGAATCGATTTATGAACAGTGATAACAAAGTGCGATTCTTACCCACAGTTTATAAGCAAAAAAATAATAAAGGTCACGCACTACACCTTTGAAATCAAACGATACGGCATCTTATATTTTGTCGCACAATATGATGCAATAAAAACTTCACTTAAAAACCAACAACAACAAAAACAAACACTTTGGGATCAAGCTAAGTAAAAAGTGCATTAGTCAGAGAATTAATAAACTTCATTTATTATTGAAAACATAATTAAAATGTTTGTTAAAAAAGGACAAAAATGCATAATTCTTCTTACGGAAAGAAAAATTCCAAATATTTCAGTAAGAGCTTGACATACTCCTATTATCGTAAAAAAATTGTGGCCGTAGAACCATGGATTTAACCCCTTAAGATTGTCGTGTAAAAAGCATAAAAGGTATTAGCTAGAGCAACGGAATGCAACATACCTATATACCGTATAACGACACAATTGATATATTAGTTTGGGGAAAAAGAAATCCATTATTTTCATATGAATTTCAGGACTTTATTTAACATGCTTCGGATTGTCCGATTTGAGTCAAATATGCACCGTTTTGTTGTATGATTTGTTGCCATTTTAAAGGTAACTTCAAAATGCCTCTCTCATAGAAGTCCTGGTCTCTATTTGCAAAAAACTCTAGTAGTCGATTTTCACAATCCTCCCTAGATTCCAATGTTTTATCATTAAAGAAATTTTGCAATGCAAGAAAGAGATGATAATCGCTTGGTGCCAAGTCCGGACTGTATGGCGGATGCATTAAAACTTCCCAACCAAGCTCCCGAAGTTTCTGGCGAGTCACTGTAGATGTTTGTGGCCTAGCGTTGTCCTGGTGGAACACGACACCTCTCCTGTTGGCCAATTCTCGCCGTTTCTGGTCGATCGTTATCTTCAAACGGTCCAGTTGTTGACAGTAGAGATCAGAATTTAGCGTTTGGCCATATGGAAGCAACTCATAATAAATAATCCTTTTCCAGTCCCACCAAATGCATAGCAAAACCTTCCTGGCCGTTTGAGGTGCTTCACCGCTCTTTGACCACGATCGTTTTCGCACAGGGTTATCGTATGTGATCCATTTCTCATCTCCAGTCACCATCCGTCTAAGAAATGGGTCTATCTCATTCCGTTTGACCAAGGCTTCGCAGATGGAAATTCGATCCATCATGTTTTTTTCTGTTAATTGGTGTGATACCCAAACATCGAGTTTCTTTTTGAATCCAGCTTTGTGTAAATGGTTTAAAACTGTTTTATGGTCGATTTTTAGCTCATGGGCGATGTTACGGCTGCTAACATGCCGGTCAACTTCGATCATTTCTCCGATTTTATCGACATTTTCGACAACCGGCCTACCTGTGCGAGGGGCATCTTTAACATCAAAAATTCCTGAACGGAATCTACGAAACCAAAATTGCACATAATTGGCTGTTACAGTATCGGAACCATAAGCACCATTCACAATTTTAGCCGCCTGGCTTGCATTTTCGCCTTTGTCAAAGAAAAACTGTAAAATGTACCGAATTTTCTCTTTGTTCACTTCCATTTTTAACACGCTGTAACTCACAACTGAATGCACCAAACAAAAAACAGCAAAAGAATTTTTTTTACTACGAAATGTCACCTTTCCAACGAGCATAAATATGAAATTGTTTGATCGATACTTTACGAGAAATCTATCAGTGCAGCCATCTACCGAAAAAATAATGCATTTCTTTTTCCCCCAACTAATATATATCTTCAGGGATTATGTTCTATTGTATATTTATTGATTTTCTTAATTCTCCTTATGTAGAAGCTATTAGGGAAAGCATAAGAATTTTGGTGCAGTCTGATTATATTTTTATTAAAAATTAGTTCACTTTTCCATTTATAATATCAGATTATTCTCTTATATAGTATGCGTATAACTTTATGATAACATCGAAGTTAAAATTCCATTTTTTCTTGATAAATTTTCTTATTTTACAAATGTATTCATTAGCTTTGGAATATTATCGTATTATTTATAAGACATAGAAATGAAAGAGTAATTTGAACTTTGTTTGATTCACTAATAAATGGGACCTCAACTTCAACAATTCTGATTAACTAATAAAGAAAAAATAATATACGAGGGTTAGAATTGCACCATTCTCACGCTCTGTTTAACAGAGAGAAAATTCGTGTTTTCACCTCAACAACATACATGAGGTTGGTTAGACTAATGCTTGAGTATGCCTCTGTTGCGTTGTCTTGTTTCTATAAGTATTATGTAAACTCAATAGGAGCCGTTCAAAAATACTTGCTGGTCTTTGCCCCTAGAAATTTTGGTTGGAACTCATTTGGCTCATTACTTTCTTGATTTTCCCGCCACTTGAAAAACGTATGTTTATTCCTCGTGTTTCCTTTTTAATTAAGTTAATAAATAATGCCATCGATTGGCCGACATTACTTGGTGAGATAAACTTCAATGTTTCCCACCGTTTGTCTCAGAACTTAATTCTAATAAAGCATAGTCAATGTAGACATAATTAGGGGGTTTTCAATCTTGCAAAAGTCGAAATGACATCTTGCTCATGTCGCATCTAGATTACCTTCTAATTCATATATCCTAGTAGGAATTGAAAATAAAGCTAAATTTTTACACTATTATTGGTTACCATGCTTTTACATTATAGCCACGGGTTGGAGGGTATTTTTTATTTTTTCTTTATTTTCCTTTAAATGATTTCTAGAAGATTTATTTCTAATAGCCAATTAAATTCGGCTCTTAATCTATTTTAGCTAAATTTCATGTGTAAAAAAAATGTAAAGATAAAGTTTGCAAATCCGCGTGTTATAGTCGGATTTTAAATCTGTGCAAGAAATATTTCAAATTCTTAGTGTATTTTTTGCTTTTTGGTTTTATTCATGTCTAAAGCAGAAAAATTCTTTAAAAGAATAGTGTGTAATTTAACTTACATGATATATTAATCTTTTATGTGAAAAATTCATTTTGAAGAACTTACTCTTTTGACCATTTAGCTTCCTGAGAATAGCCGCAACTGTAAAATTATTTGATTCTTTCCTTGCAATACTGTTAGTATTCAATCGAGGATAAGCCCAAACTGCCAAACACCACGGAAGACAATTTTACCACAGTACAAACTTTTAAGTCACTAACAGGAGCTTAGCTACTTACCCTTTCCTTCCAGGATGTCTTGAATAATAAAGATTTTTCGTTTTTATT